TCGAAATGAAGTTCCCCCTAACAATGTTATCTCAGGAGATTCATCGAAACCAAGTTTCTCTTCGTACCCTCACACTTTCTTTTGCTATGCCATCCTTTAGAGAGAAATATGACCCATTATCGAGATCTGACTGCTATAAGATTGTTTGCTCATGTGGTCGATGTTATGTTGGTGAGACATGCCGACCTAATTGACAAAGATTGGGAGAACACAAAAATGCTTGTAAAGGAAGCTGGGTCCAACGGTCAAAAGTGGCTGAACACGCTGCTGGACATTAAATAGAATGGTTACAAACTAGTAGGTATGCTGATTATGGTACGTCCGTTGATAAAAGAAAGATAAGAGAGGCTATTGAAATAAGTATATTAGGAAATACTTTTAATATGAGGAACGGTAAGAGAAAGTTGAGTATGAACTACTTATATTTGATTGATAGATTGAAGGAGAGAGGGTGTTGAGCCGCTATTCAAAAGAAGGCAACTCAACTGGTCTGCTCATGAAAGCCGCTAAAGAGCACACGACACGTCTAAATAAGCATGGTAAAAATGGTAACAGTAAAGGCGTGATACGAGGATATAGGAAATGTGAATAGCCCAGGGCAAGAGAGATACCACAACTGTTTAGCAAACGTTTGGTCAAAGGATCGGCTTCACTTGTCTCTTTAACGAGTTCTTGTATGGTGCTAAGAATGGCAAGACTCACTGACGATGGTGGGGAAACATTTGGGAATGTTCCACGTCCACGGTCCGACTTTGGAAATTATCATGCATACAATGGACTCCGGACTATGTAGTTCCTCTAAGTCTTCCCACCAATATGACCAAGTTGCGAAAACAAGGTCAAACAACTTCCATATCTTTTATTATCTACTTGAAGTGTGTGATACCTCAATGGCATGAACGTGCAAACAATTATCAATAAAAACTTATCTGCAACCCAACATCCAAGCTTTTTCTATATAATCACTAAAGGGTTTTGGGATTTATTGTATCCCATGCCACGTTAGGAAGCCTGTTCGGCCGAAAATTAGTAAAATATTAGAATTTGATGAAGGCTCTATAGTCATGTTTGACCCTTCCTTACTGGCATTTTTCACTTATTATATGAGTACCTGGAGTAGGATTGCAGAGGCTTGGTAGATTAAGCCTCTTGGTAAACGCGGCAAGACATCAGAGCCAATTGAGCATGATTTATGAAGATCTACAGACTCGTATTAGCAAAGGGATTGATCAAAGAGTAGGATTTTTTTCTGCCGTTAACCTTTAAGGTAAGCCAATGGTGCACAATCAGATGGTGGACACTTTCGGTTATCTGACTTTGAATACATATGAAAGATGGCATCATTGCATAATAATACAAATGTAGAAGAAACGATGTGGCTGAATATGATACTGTAATTGGCTAACTTCGTATTCTATGCACGTTTATTTATAAAGTAATAGGAATGAATGGTTAATTTGTTGCCTTCCACTCTTTTCTGCTTAATTTTGATGAGCTCTATGACCCTCTTCTTTTGGGGTAATGCCCATCTAAAATATTTGAAGTGTTCGGCTAATACATTTTGATTGATACACTGCATTGATGAGACCAGTATATAGGCAAAAAGAAATTAAATTAGAAAAAAGTTGGGAAGTTGATTGGCTGGCTTTTCAGATTTTGATAGTTGAACTACCTACAGCTATTTCAAAAGAAGCCTTTAACTCAAAAGGAACAGTCCATTTCTAGAGATCTCTCCGACTCTGAGGTTACCACTAACCTGCAAATACTCCCTGTAAAACTCTGCAGTCATCGGACACCAAACTTCTGCGCACTGCACACGGGCAATGAAGCCACGCTGCTGCAACTCCAACCAGTTGGCTTCATATAGCTTTGGTCCTATCAGGAAGTTAAGATCCGTAATCTTATCATCTTCACGCACTAGTGTGGCTGTCAGACCAAGTTTACAGTGCGCCTGAACCAAGGTCAAGACTCGACGGAACATCTTTGCTGGAATCGTGTGAACCTATATTTGAGATAAGACCGAAGCGCGTATTTGTGCACATGTGAACGGGGATGAAAAAGGAGAAAAAAAATCGACATCAAAAAGACAGAAGTTGAATTGGAATTTGAATGTGATCAATGTTGAATTTTTATAGATGCTATAATATGATGAGGAGACATGCCGCAATATTAAGATATAAGTATTTTTATTTTACCACCAGATGCAAAACTTTGGTGCCAATAATATATTAACCATAATAATAGCAATATTAGTAATAATTATACTATTAAAGAAGATAATAAAAAAATAATAGGTGATCTTAAACATGCAGATAAGGCATATTTAAATGCAGGAAGTATCCATTGTTGGTAAAGTCAACAAGAAAATCAAACAAGTACTTGAAATATGGAGTGTAGCCCGTCATAGGAAGCTATTTGTCTATATGCACTAAGTTTGGATGTATGTATATGCGACCTAATCCAAATAACATATTTTTTGCTAGAGTGTCAGTATAGGAATTCCTATATTTATATTCCCTTAATGTAATTCATGATAATCTGTTCATACTGTAATTACCTATTCAAGGATAAGTAAGCTAAATCCTTCATCTACAAATATAACAATTTGACTGATAAGTTAAGTTGTGTTAAACCCAAGGGATTGGGAGCTAACCGATCCTCACCCTTACAACTAACCAAATTGACAACTTAGTCATATTGAAAGGACGACTTAGATGAACGCAACTTGTCCGGATCCATAGTGTGCATGATAATTTCCAGAGTCGGGCCGTGGATTTGGTATATTGCCAGACGTTTCCCTCGCATCGTCAGTAAGCCTTGGCATCGCTAGCACCATACTACAACGCATCAAAGACAAGTGAAGTTGATCTTTTGCTCAACTGTTGGCTAAACAATTGGTCATATGGTATTCGCCCATCCTATATCCTCATATCACCCCTTCAATATTACAATTTCTTACATGTTTATCTATACTTAGTTGGGAGCTCTTCACACTCCCTGCCGGTTCCCCACATCCCGCCCACTGTGCTGAGGTTTAATCCAAGGCTGTAGGTCAGTCCGCAATCCTCTTCATTCAGGTCATAGCAGTCTCCTTCTTGCTCCATAGGACCCCTCTCTTATTTATCGCTGCCATAATATCGGTGTTACTCAAGGCATTATGTTTTGTCCTCTATCTCAAGCCTTTGATAGCACGTATATGCCAGTCTAATTGAGCAAGCCCCTAAAGCCTGGATTTTCCGTTAGCATGGCGATCTAGCTTGACGTTGCATATTCCCTTATCATTGTTTCACATGTGCACCAAGAAAATCTCGTGAGCAAGCCTTCACCTCATGGACCAGGGCCATTAACAAACTTATCTACTATCAATGGTCTCTGCCACATCTCTCGCTCCTATAGCCCTAGTGCCAAGTCTGTGACTTTCCTATACCCTAGCCTCTTGCCTCTTGTGTCGATCCGCAAATGTGACGGTTCTAGTTGATTCGAAAATGCCCAATTTAAACGTCTCCTTTTGGTTTCCGAGTTTCCCTCTTTGATATCCTTGTAATTTACTTTCCTAAAACTAAAAATATTACCTTGATCCAGTCGATTTCTTCTTGCTGATCTTGTTGTTATTTGATCTCTTCCAGGTTTGTTCAGACAGTATTCAAAGTTTTAGCTAATCCAGCCTTCCTCAAGTCTCCTATTCATTAGATTACTTTCAGTCAGGATATCGACAGCTTCTCATAACTTGCGTTTTGTTGTATTTTCCCCATATGCAGCCAGCCCTTCTGTCGATTTCCAGTCGATTTCGTATCCTGTCCGTGCAATGTTTTCCATATGCATTTTTCTGCAGTCTTTGGTGCTCCATGATTATAAGGCTAATTTTTATTCCTAAGATAAACAAGAAATTGTGCTATTGAAAGGGTGATACGAGGATATAGAATAGGTGGATACTCCAGAGCAGAAGGAGAGATATCACAACTGTTTAACAG